AATCTGTCTGACAATGAAAATCCGTTGTATTGTAAAATTCGTTATATTAAAATTCGTTGTAGAAAGAGTTGACTGTAGTTCTTTGCTTACACTTCAGATTAATTAATATCACTCTTACATAATCATAACTCTAAAAATTTTAAGAGAGAGAGCATTTCACTTATCTTAGAAAGCTATATATATTTATATAGTATTTATAATCAAATTATATTATTATAAGAAAATAAAAGAAAATAATACATATTATTTTGAAAGTAGATATATTATATGTGAATTATAAAATATCTATAACTAATCTATTTTTACTTTTATTATTAATTATGTGATTCTTATTTCTATGTTAGATTTATAAAATAAATTATTTCATATACATTTATGTTTATTTATATTATAATTATCTATATTAATTATATACAAATAATATTTTCTGAAAAAGAATTTTGTTAAGATCAAGTAATTTGAGATTATAACATAAATTAAAGAAATTAGCAATTAGGTTAAAAAAAATAAGAAATATAATATTTCTGATTTAAGTTTATTACTATTCATTTTAATATATTTTAAGAAAAATTTGATCAATAGCATTTCTCTTAACAATAAAAAACTTTAATGCTATAGAATATTAAGAGATTTCATTTAATAATAATAGATTAAAAATAAATTATTTTATATAATTATTTGTATCTATGATATATGTAACATTTACTATAATTTTACTATGCATTTATCTATTAAGATTTAATTAAAAAAACAATAGTACAAACTTGTTTCATATAATTTTATTATACAAAAAATATTATAAAATATCTAGGCTATTGCTTTATACTATATTGATCATATAAGAAAAAAATAATAAAATACAAGTTGTTGTCTGTTATATAATGATGCTATTTATTCAGTGTATTCTTTTTTATAAGATAGTTAACTTTTTAAAATTCTATTGTTTCAATTTTATGTAATAGGATTTGCATTTTTATTATTAAATTAAATAAACAAATGATTTGCATTTTTTATTTTTTAAATTTGGTAATTTAATTATTATTTAATTTATTTAATTTATTTTTCTTATTTAAATTATTTTATATATTTTTATTATCTTATTTAATTTATTATTTTTATTATTTTATTTAATTTATTACTATTAGAATATATTTTTATATAAATAGAAATAGTTTTTATAAGTGAAAAAAGAGAGAAAAAATAATAATAGAATTTGTTTTATGATAAATTTTGATAAATAAATTGTTTAGTACAAATATATTAATAGAAACAATACTATATTTTTGTTTATTAATTAATTAATTACATATACTTTTTTTAATTTTATCTTATTTTTCTTTATTTTTATTTTTTTATATATCCTTACCTTACTTTTCTATATAAAGAAAGCCTTTTACTATATATAATATCACAAATAATTATTGATTTAAAAGAATTGATATAATAATATATTTAACTTTAATATATATAAAGATATACCTAAAATCAGTAATATACATTTTTAATATTTTAGAAATTTGTTATTCTAATTATATATCTTAGTTATATATCTCAATATATCTTACATTATATCTTAAATGTTTTATTTGTTTTATTTATATTTTATTAATATTTTATAATAATATTACTTATAATCATATTCAAGAAAATTTATAAAAACAAAAAATCCAATTTAATCTCTATTCTATTTTTATTTCAATTTCTAATTTTTTTTTAATAGACAAAAAGACATATAGCAAGATAGGTAAAAAAAATCAGAAATTAATATATTCTTAATAAATGATATTAAAAATAGATAAATGTATAATCTATTATAAAAATAATGGTATTTATTTACCTTAACATTAATATATACTTAGATGTGATGAAGATAAGTATATAATATATTATAAAAATAATGGCAAAAGTCTTTTTTACACTATCTCAACACTTTGAAAGACGTAAAAAAGAAACTTATATTATACTTTTAATAATTCATCTAATAATTAAATTAATGTAAAAAGATGTATTTATATAATATTCTCTTAACAATTGACTTTCAATAGAAAATAAGACAACTAAATAGGTATAAAAATGTAACTTTATCATACCTTTAATATCTTATCTAGCAATCAAACTGACATAAAAAGACATATTTTTATAATAATATTTCAATAATCTCTTAATAATTTTTAATAGAAAACAAGATAACTAAATTAATATAAAAAGGCATATAATCTTAATATAGAATAAGAAAACAAAATAAAACTTTAGCTTCAAATAGACAACTAAATATTATAAAGTAATAAAAAGTGATAACTAAGTAATATTTACAAATAATTAAGTAGCAATCTATAGTTAATTAAGTAACAATCCCTATTTAGATTATTATCTAATTATATAACCTAGTTTAAATAGTATATCATTATTTTTATTTCAAACTTCAAACAAATATTAATTTTTATATTTGTCTATTTGGTATTATCTTTACTTGAATTTATTTCATTTTTGAAACCTTTTATTTGCATTTATTATTTTTAAATGATGATTAAATAGTGTAAAATAATAAATAAATAAATATTATATATATAAATAAAAGTTTAATCAAAATATTTTAGATAAAGTTTACTAAATGAAAAATCTTCAAAATTTTGTGACTTTGCTTGTATTGTTATAATATTTACATCTGGCTATATATTAATAATTATATTAAAAATTATAAGTATAAATCTCTATAAGATCAATTATTATTTCTTTAGGTAAAGCTGATCAGATATAAGCAATTTATTTGAAGTTTCTATTGTAATTGGTTTTGGAAGTATAGAAACAGGTTTCAATCTTGTTTTAATATTTGAATCACATTTTGATTCAATTTTTTTTAAATTTTGTAAAATTATTTCTTATTTAATCTATATGTATGATCCGTTTATTTGATCTGATCTTCAAATGATTTTTATTGGCTATTGGAGAATTAAATGGGACTAGTGATATAATCATTTCCCAACGCGTTGTTTAATTTTATCCAATAGGCTTAATCAGATCTTTTGTACAACTCGAAATCGGATAAATGAAAAAAAACCTATCACACATTTATTTTAATATACAGTACCAATGGAAATTGCTACCTTACTATTATTATATTATCATAGGATGGAACTACAATACATAAGTTCAAATTTTCTCATTTTTAGATCAAAATTTCTTTAATTATTTCTCTCTCACGGTTCATCACAAGTTTCAAATGACTTCCATAAATTCCTTTATCTCCTTTAGAAAAGAAATTTTCCTTACTTAACCTTTCCAAATATAATTCATAAGCCGGCATAAATTTATTCACAAAATCTTTAACTTGTTCATCACTCATTCCACTTTTTCCTCGTTGTTTCATAGAATGCTCTTGTTCTAAACGCCATTGATAAACATAATTGATATTTTCCGCTTCAACATGAATAAAAATATCAAGGAACGGATACCAATTCTCTTCATATCGCTTTAAATGTTCGTTAATAATTTTTATATGAGAAAATGAATGAGATTTTAATGTTTTTAAAGAAGACGATGCACGATCATATGCTTCTTGGAGTTCAGAAGAAGGTAAATGTTTAAATCCTAAAGACCATCCATCAAACAAAATGATATCAAAAGGTGGTGAAACTCTAATCCACTCTTCAATAGGTGCTCGATCTCCTCTTCCATTTCGTAAGGATTTATCGTAAAACGGTATCAAGATGCTCACATTATTTGACTTTACATTATCTCTCTCCCTTAACCTTTCGTGTAATCGTTCGGAATATTTTTGTTGAACATCACGTAATTCTTGTAAGATCTGCCTTCCAAGCAAGACATCATGAGTTCCCGGTGCACCTCTAAACTCCAACAATTGATTCCCAGGGTTCTGGTTTGCCAATTGACATTGATCTTCATACGTTAAATAAAAGTCATCCATGGAAAAGTTTACCACTGATAAATTTTTCGCACTCTTCAAGTATTGTACAATTTGTTTTACAATCGTTGTTTTACCTATGATATCGGTTTATGAAAATTAATTGATGTGGTTGGTTAATCATGTTGAAAATTAATTTATAAAATTTTTTTTTTTACCACATCCTTGCGCTCCGCTAAGTCCAACTACTAATGGATCGTTGGTATTATTTGATTCCTTCCTTAATTTATTGTAATGATTGACTATGAATTTTGATAGAATGTCAATTTTTTGTGATGATTGCGGATGTTGATGATGTAAATTATGTAAATTATTCATCTTGTAATTAAATCTAAAAAAAAAAAATGCAGGGACATGATCGGAAATTTATTAAACCTTTGAATTAAAATAGTATCATTGTTCATGATTAATACCTTTGAAAAAACTTCATGGTAAATTTATGATTTTGTTTTTTAACAAAAATAAAATTCATCGTTGGAAAAAATAAAAAAAAAAATTTCATTCGCAAAAAGGAAAGTTGTACGTACGATCGATCATTCGATCGTTACACTAAATGGGTAAATCCTGAATAAAATTTTGAGAAATGAGAGAAACATCACAGGGAACGAAGGATTCTCTTGTACTGACCGGAATTATGTAAAATAATGATTATTTTATTGAATCGAATACAAAAAAAAAAAGTAAAGTTAAAAAAAGAATTGAAAATGATGATCAAATCCGATCTAAATACGCATTTGAACTTATTTCAAATCATCGGACCACGTCGGAATAAATCTGTGGCGCAGCGTACGTTTAATGAACAAATTGCTAGGTAAGCGGTCTTTTAATTTTGTTAATATTTGTAGGAGTAACATTCCTTTTATATACATAATAAGCTATTGTAGAAACTCGATATGTAAGCTGACATGCTATGACGCACTCAATACTACTTACATCCGCATTAGCTATATAAATCGCTGAATTTTAATTCATAGTGACTAGATGTTAGTAAATACATCTTATTAACCTTATTTGACTAATATAAATGCAATTGGACTCAGTTGGCTCGTGTAAGGTTTACTTGTCGAGGAAACACGTATTTAAATTCGAATCGATTAATAAGTTTCTTCGAGTTTGAAAACTTTTTCTTTTAACTTTCTATTATAATCAAACTTTTTTTTCTTCTAAAAAGAACATGGAAACCTTTTACGGTATGATCAAGGATAAATTTAGATATGATATTAAAAGTTAAACGGTATTTTATGTTTTTAAACTTACGCGTCAAAATAAAATAAAATAAAATCTACTCAGGAAAAGTCCCAAGCACGATGGATGCCTTGATTATCTTTGGTAAACAAAAAGAACCGATAAAAGTATCTTGCACTTTTTGAAAATAAAAAAATTAAATTTTCATTTATCATCGCATATCATAAAGAGGCGTGCCGTCAAGGAGTCTTGAACAGAACTACGCGTCGCATGGTAGAAGAAGAGAAAAAAGTTCTTTGTGCTGGGTCCATGTAAGTATAACGAATCCTTATCCCGAATTCTAATCCTTATTAAATACAACCATTTCAAACAGAAGATTACATCTTTAATTAATTTAATCTTTTTTTTTTTAAAAAAAAAAAAAAATGTTTAGATACGTGTACGATGAAAGGGAATCAGGAATCAAAAGATGGACCGATGGAAAGTAAGTAAAGATCATTCATTCATTTTCTCAGGCTCAGAAAGATAATAATTATTTATGAAGTGTCAATTTTGTGTGTTCACATGTAATCTGCGTTGCAGATATTGGTCTCCTAGCAGAATCGTTGGCGATTTTCTTGTTTATCAAGAGCTCGAAATAAGAATTCCTCATATAAAAAGTTACGACAAACTTGATGATAACCTCAAACAACGAATCAAAGATGAAAATTTAAAATTTCATATTTCAAACAAGGGTACTTTTATTCACCGTAAGGATGGTTTGAGTAAAAAAACCATCACAGTAAAATTGAACGAGGCTTTCCAACATATGGTTATTTATGAAGAAAAAGAGGGTATCGTTCGAAATTAATTCTTTCCGTTATTCCCTTTATTTGATGCGTTACACGTGATTAATTTATTTTCCGACTATCGACTTTTTTTAATAAAAGGCAATAATAATCATCTTTACCCGCCTCGTGCTTATGTCGAACTGTTAAACATTGAACCAGGGGTAGACTTGACTCAAAATGAAGCGTTACGCAAGCAAAATTACGTCAGGCTTAACGAAGAATCCCCTGCTTCAAGGTTAAGAAAAGGAAAGGTTGTGGAACGTCAGAGACCCTCTTCAAATATCAACATTCCACCTAAAAGACCCGTCGCTCCGTTCCAACCTTTGCCGAGTATCGCGGAAGCTTTGTATTCTCCCGTGTCGACAATGCAAAGAACTAATGATTTTGAATTACCTGAATTGAATATAACAAGAATAATTAACCTATTGTCAGGTTCGCAAGAAAATGATTCGATGGTTAAATTGGGAAAGTCAGAGGATTCATCATGGTCGGTTCAATCAACGAATTGCATTGACAATGGCATCAATATTTGGCAGAACGGCGAGTATCCATTTCCATCCCGCGCCTTTCCATCCCATACCTACAGAACCATGAGAGATACCGTTATTACTGATACGGTCAAACCCCTCGCCGATCCAGATTCGGATTTCATGGATTTGGTGGATTACTCTCGTTTATAGAGATTAATTAAAAATCATGATGTGAATGAATTTTACTTTATACAAAGGAGTATACGATGAAAAAGAATTCTTTTTAGTCTCTTTTTCATTCTTCTGTAGTTAACATATCTTGTATAATATTTCATGTATTTTTAATCGATAGGTAATGTGATAATAACTTAGTGACAAAAAAAATTGCTTACACAGAAAATATTATCACATTATCTTGTATTTCATTTTATTGCATTATTGTTCATGCACGTCTTACCAATCTGCATCTAATAAAAAGTAAATTTGCCCAAGTACAAATTTTAGTTTTGATCGCTAGGCCGATCACGAATCTGATATTTCGTGTTTTTTTTTTTTTTTTTTTTTTCTTTTTTTTAAAAAAAAAATATAATTATAATAAACTTCACTCATTTGCGATCAAAGTAAAAAAAAACTTTACGATCGCTGGTGTCCAAATAAATTTTTTGTTTTTTAATAATTTTTCCCAGTTAACGTCTTGATGCAAAACCCTTTACCATACGATAAGGAAGAAACTTTAGAAGAGGCTACTTCTATGAACATGGATAGGCTCACACAACTTCAAGATGCAATAGATGAGGTTCAGTTCTTCAAAAGATAATTAATTCCTCTTTTTTTTTTTTTTCAGTTTAATATTATAACCTATGATTTATTCTTTAGTTGGCTAGAATGTTTGCTAATAGCGTAGAATATCTTAACCGAGGTAGCTTTAAAAGGCTCGAAAAGTTTTTCAAAACGCGTTGTTCTACCGATAATATATTAACCATTTATATGTTATGATGATTTTTATTATAGCGCAGGTGCATGTCGACCAGGATCCAGGGAAATTTAGAGGTAGGAATGAAATTATATAGATACATATATATGTATGAGAATAAAATAAATAATTAATTTAATGTTATTTGTTCTATTTAGAAAGTCAACGTGAACTTGTTCAAGATATTGTCAAAAAATCAAAACAAATAGAATTATTGATAGAGAAATTACCAGGGATGCAAAATTCTGAACAAGAGCAAATAGATATGATTAAAGAATTAAATAAAGAAATGCACGAGGCCAATCTAGAATATCTAAAGGCTGTTGAAAATGCAGGTATGATACATATATATATATATTTATTAATTAAAACAATATTTTTTAATATTCGTTGTTTAATCGATCTTAATTAAATATTTAATTTAAACTTTAAAGAGTCTTTAAAAAAACAAATCATGGAAACTATAGGAATACTTTGTAGGGACCAAAGTACGGCGTATAATACAGAGGAATGAACGAGTTCCTCATTAATTGTTGATGTTCCTTGTCCTTTGACGTGTGTTAATCTTCTTTAACTAGCCAAATCAATATTATGCCTATAAATACAATGGCAAGTAACAACCAACAAGATAATTCCATTGTAAACTGCTGATCGACATTTTCAGTAGCGTCCATCAAGACAACAAGTAAGATGCCACATATTTGTACTACAGAATTTAGAATTCCTGTGCTTGTGATCTCATCTTCTCCTAGACGACTGGAAGTAATTACTGGCACATATTGGAATAGTGCCGGAGTTATTGCTATATGATGGCTTTATTAGAATGTTTTTCAATCGTTGGATTTTTTTTTTTTTTTTAAGAAATTTATTTAATCTTATTGCTTACCAAATGAAGATATTCCAAAGAACATGCTATAATCGAGAAATGCTCATTATTAACGGTTTAGTTTGAAATAATTTTTTTAACATTTGAAATTAGTCATTATTTACCATGAAACTGTTAGTAAAGGCATACTTTTTATCTTCAAAGCTATAATGAAGGCAAATAGCGAAAGAAATGTGATCATATATAATGTACGACAAGATCGTTTGTATGCGAATGTGCGATCAAGATAAATTCCAATTAGAACAGATCCAACCATTCCAGCTACCACATTAAGGAATCCCAAGAATCCAATTTGAGACTAATAAACAAATGGTTAAATATTTTTTTTTTTTACATTTTTTTTTTTTTTTTTTTTTAAAATTTAAATTCTTTTTTATTTTTCCTATTACCTCATCATACACTCTGAAGACAGGAACTACAATTTGTGCTAATAAAGTGCTCACAGCAAATGATGCCCCAACGGTTAACCCATATGAAGTTGCAAGTAACATAAATACTTTATCTGTGCAGAAAGCATATATCGTCGAAAGTGTTGTCGTGGCTTTACGATTTGGTTTACTAAAGAAAATATCATTAGTCAAAATCGTGATCAAATATTAAATTTTGTTCAAAATTTTTACCTTTGAGATAAATTAGATTCGGATGTAAAAGATGTAACACAGATCAAATATATAAGTGAACAGGCACCAAATTGTATTAATAAATATTTGGGGATATCGTCCTTTGCCGTGGCTTGTTTAATAAACCATGGCGATAATAAAAACCTAAAGAATGATAATAAAAATGGTATAGAATTTAAAAAAAATTCATTATTAATAGAACCTTTTCACTTACCTACCACCAAATTATAAATTATCCTTACCCAACAGCAATTCCAGCATTATTAGCTGTAACCCCAATTCCAGTTGCTAGATTCTGTTCCCCAAATTCAAACCAAGTGTTTGCTAATTTTGGGGGAACTCCCAAAATAAAAACTCCGGCAATGGCTGCAATTGTCTGACCCAAAAATAATAACCAAAACCCGGATGGTCCAAAAGAACCCATGAATCTTAAGAAAGTTCCAAAAGCATTTAAAAATGCACCGACGAGAATTCCCTGTCGTAAGCCCCATTTGTCATATATATTGAGGACAGGGATTAATAATATAGGATATATTATCATAAATACTGTAGCTAATGCGTTTATAGTTGACGGCGTTTGCTGATAATGTTCCATGAAAATGTAAAGACATGGTCCAAAAGTGATCCAAAGTACCGCATTGGAAAACGAAAGAAGTGAAAATGATGTTAAAACGAACCATTTTCGATTAGATAGATTTTTATGTACAGTCGTTTTTCGTTGCGTATTCGGTGTTATTAATGCAACTTCTTGGTCTTCCGATGCACTCGATTTTTCAACCATTATGTTAAGTTCATCGGGATTATCTTCAACTTGTTCATAATCATGCTTGCGACTTTCTTTAGCTTGTAAAGATGGATTAATGACATCTGAAACTGAAGTTGAAGCTGTCATTTCGAGTTTTTTTTTTTTGTTCATCCAAACGTCCATACAATAGTTGTATTTATCATGATTTTCGCAGATCTGCAATGTGCATGTAACACGTGGAAATAAATATTCCTGTTTAAGTTTTTTTTTTAATTAGAACAACAAAAAATGGCAGAAACAATTCTTTCTAACGAGCCAAATCATGATACTTCAGAAACCTCAAAACCTACATCAAAACCTCAAACTTCTACTGAAAGTAAACGATCTTTGCGTAGAAATCGTCCCGGAACTAAACATGAAGTAAGCAAATAATATTATGAATAAAATTTTCCTTTTATAATAAATAGTAAACATTTATATACTTTGTTTTTTGTAGGATGCTTACCAATTTCCTTATATTTCACTAGAACAAATTGATTCTGCTTTTGCGTTACAAGAATATCTACAGTCATTGATAAGAGCCGACAAAGATAACCTGGATGCTCTAGTAGAATTACCTCCGGGACAAGATCAAGAGACTTGGCAATATGAGCATTTGAGGTAATTACTAGTATAGTGAAAGTCACATTTAGTCATTGATGAAACCAAATCTACCGAATCTCATTATTCTCATGGATTTATTAGCTATGAAATTGTATAAATCTAGTTTTTTTTAGTGTTTATACTCGATCAAATTATATTAATTGTGATCAATTAGGAAATTTAAATAGAACAACCAAAAGAAATCAAAACATACTTCCTATAATTATGACTTTTTTATTTAATTAATAATCATTTCAGAACATTTCATTTGATTTAGGCAATTATGTCTCGAACTTAATTATCTGGTAGTTCAACTGGAAGCTGAATGCACTCGTCAGTCTTGCCCCGAGATGAAAGCTGATGAATGGCAATACCTTTGCGCTGCACACCAAGCTCCAACGAATGTGAGTTATTATATGTATATATTAGCTATTATTTTTGATTCTAACATTTTTAATTAACGTCTAGTGTTGTGCGATTGATTATATTGTACATACGTTAGATGGAGCAACGACTTTATTAAACAGTCACAAATATTTTCCGAGCAGGTAGATTCTTTTCAAAAATTAAATTAATTTATACATAATAGTTTGTAATTGATTTTTGATTTGTTATTGTAGGATATCCATTCCTGAGACATCACTGAAACATTACCAGTCTATCGCAAGACGACTTTACCGAATATTCGCACATGCATGGTTTCATCATCGAGAAATATTCGAAGCTTTCGAGGTAAGCAAAAATTTATACCTTTATTTTTTTTAAAGATTCTATTCTAATATATATATTATTTATGTTTATTTGTTTTTGCCAGAATGAGAATATGTTATATGCGCGTTTCTTGAAGCTTTCCGATCGTTATGAATTAATCGCAAAAAACCTTTTGATTATACCATATAACAATAACTTTGATGACAGCAGTAACAATGACAATCATATTAACAACAATAATAATTGTGACGATGTCTTGACACCATCCATGGAATAAAATTTTATAAACATTATGTGTTCTAATTTGTTATTCTCAAAAGTTTTTTTAGTCGTCGTATGTCGTATATTCCAATTATTTTGAATGTAATTTAAAGATAATATAATAAATCTAAATAGTTTGCTTGATGATCGATCATTTAATCAATATAGTTATAAATCACATGATCAACTAGATTACATGTGATTAATTTTACGTAAGTTCATGTCATTAATTAACTTGCCCTTATTTGTACCGAAAATTAAAAAAAAAAATCCCTCTTTTAACTTTCAATTTTTTACCATGCCGGTAAGACGGTTGTAAGACGGTCGGTCTTATAATGAGTATTTCTGAATAAAAATAAATTAATTTTAATAAATTATATTACATAGGCATATCATTCTCAATTCAATGATAGGACTGAATTTCGAACAGTAGGTAACATGGCGTTGTTGCCTATAAAGACAAAATTAAGAGGTCCACCATCCTTAGGTAACGAAAGAGATCTTTTTATTATTATTATGATCCATTTCTAAATTGTTTATTTATATATTTTGTAATGGGAATGATTTTATAGCACCCGCTCCCCCAGCAGAGGATGATGTCATTGATGAAGCATTAGACCTTTTTAGAGCCAATTGTTTATTTCGAAACTTTGAGATAAAAGGCAGTGCGGATAGAGTTTTGATTTATTTGATCTTATTTATTAGTGATTGTTTGTCTTGTTTGAGTAAAGCAGGAAAAAATACATCACAAAAAGAAGCTGTAAAGATATTGAATAGTCGTGCTTTAGATCAATTTGCACTTCCTGGAGATCCAACTTTTCCATTGAATGCTTTATATACTTCACCTGGTAGCGATGCAGGTTCGATTATCTAATTTTTTTTTTTTTTTTTTTTTTTTTGAATTCAATTTATAATTTATAATACTTTAATTAATCTTTAATAATTTATTAATTTATTTTTCTTTTTAATTAGAACATTTACGACAATATTTATCACTAGCTCGTCAGGAATTGGCAAATCGATTGGTTGAGAGAGTTTATGTTGATGGGAAACAAAGTAAATGGTGGATGTGCTTTCAAAAGAAAAAATTCATGAATAAATCATTGTAATAACATTAAATAATTTTAATAAATTTAATTAATATTTTAAATTAATTTTTTTACATTCTTCTTCCAATTCTGAAACATTTACAACTTCAATCCCATTCGCTTGTAAGATAGAAATTCCTTCACATTTTACGAATTTGTCAGGTTCTTTAATACCCATTACAACCTTTTTAATTCCTGCTTCTATGATACGTTCAACACAAGGTTTATTACCAGATAACCTTTTACTACAAGGTTCCATAGTAGTATACATTATGGCACCATTCGCTTCCTTTATGTCTGATAATTTTTTCAACGCACATTCTTCTGCATGCGTATTTCCTTCTAATTCACGAGAATATCCGGTAGAAAGAAGTCGAGAGTTTTTAACTAATGCCTATTAAATTAAAGTTTATGATTATTTTTTCAAATTCAAAGGCATCATTTTTTTGATCGTTTTACTTCTCAAATATATTGGATCGGATAAAAACAACGATAATACGTACAGCTCCTACACAATATGCTGTTTCAATTGGTACTGAAAGATTTGCTTGTTCAATTGCAATCTTCATGAAATGCAAATCATCTTTTAACAGAAAAAAAAGAGAAATTTTTTTTTTAAAAAAGATAATATGGACATCATTTTAAGAGAAGGGGGGAAAATAACCTGCATTCGTCATGTCGAATTTTTTCTTGGAGAAAAAAATTTTGAGATGATTGTTATTAACATTTATATGAAATTGAAATTGTTTACTACATCAAAAATTTATGTTTGTAATCTAAACCTTAACCTTTGGGTTCAATTATTATAATGATTCTGGTATAAAAACCTTTAACGAGATTCTTAAATAATTATTAGATTTTTAAAACTTTGTTATTTATACATAAATAAATATAATAAATTTAAATATGTAAGACTCTCCTCTCCTTAACTGTTCGGATGTAACACGAATTAGTTTACAGAGTATATTGTCTCATGGTTTTGACTTTTTAAAACTCAAAAATGATTTTTTCATTTCGACGCTTGCCACTCAGAATTCTATCTGCTAACTTTAAAATACAAAAGCGCTTTTCCTCTTTAAATGGGTCTTATATGAAAGACAAAAACGATATTGCTGTCAAAAATCTACTAACTTATTAGACTTTTCGATGATAAAGCAAATACATGCTGAACATAAACATATATGAAGAAACTATATGAAGAGTTTGAAGAGAAAATACAAAGATTAGATACAAAGAATGAAGAGATGATACAAAATTATTAAAAACAAGAGACAAATATTAGAAACAAAGAATGATAAGCATAAAGAAGAATTAGAAACAAAGAATGAAGAGACGAGACAAATATTAAAAGTGTATAAAAAGCATAGAGAAGAGATAATTAAATTAGTAGTGAAATAAAAGGATGATGAAGCTGAATTAGTTTCGCGTATAGCAAGACTGTTTAAACTTCTAAAAATCACTGCAAGGGGGTCATCCCTGTTAAAAGGTCATTGGATTGAACAAAAAGTCATGGGTTACAGGTGGATTCTAGCTGAAACGCCGTGGCGTCTATGGTAACGTTACGGAAGCTTTGGGGTTTATCTGCGATCAGTTAAGTCTTTATGCGTCAAACTTTTTTTTACATTTTATTTATTATATTTTTCTTCAATAGATTATTTACAAGAAAGCTATAGATCCTCTCGATATACATGAACCTATTGATACTTTGTTAGAAGCGACGTTAAATGAAGATGCTGATTTTAAGGAATGTTTGAAGAAGACGTGTAAGGTGAATAATGTGACGACAGATGCTGTGTAGAAATGTATTGGTGGTCTGTATCATACGTCATCAAAAGGATTTCATGGTTACGACAAAATTGCGATTCGTGCAAAGATTGGGAGGTAAATGAGATAATTGCCTTGGGTCTCATTCAAATATTATCATATTCCTTTCATTTATTGGGATGAGCCAAATTGAGAGGCGAAATTTCCACACGAATTAGCAGTTTAATCATATGATCCAACCTACTTTTAGTTTTAGTTTTTCTAAAATTTTTGCATTATTTCAACAAATGATTTATATTATTTCTTGAAATGAATTTTACATTATTCTAGTCAAATAATGATTATTGTTCCAAAATAAATGATTTATATTATGATTGAACCAAAGTGATCATTTTACTTTTTGTTTTCATAAACATTTTTTTCAATAATATAGGACCTTTGCAATAGAAAGAGGGGAAACAGCCAGAAAAAATCAATTTTACTTTTATATGCAAATATGATATTTAGGTCAAAATATGTTCAGATTTAGCATTAACTCAATTTTTATTTTTTCTAGCTGTTTCCTTCTTTTCTATTATAAGGGTTTCATATTTTGAAATTCTTTATGAAAAAAATTCTTAGATAGTAACAATTGTCATTTTTTTTTCTTTAAAAAAAAAAAGTCTTGAATATAAATAAAAATAAATTTCTTAAAAAATTACATGATATATTTTGTTTGCTCTTAATCTTTGAACTTTAATTAAAATGAATATAACAACTTGTTGTTACATAAATTGAAAATTTTTAATAAAATTAAACAAATCATCTTATATTTTGTTATTTAATTAACTATAGCAAACTGAGTATTTAATATGAGAAATTTTCTTCTGATATGTAAATAATATTTTACTAACATTTTTTCTGGTTGATAGAATCTAGCTTATATTGCAATCAGTCAAAGTTTAAGTTAAAGGAAGGATGATATTAGGTAAACATGAAAAACATAGATATTAATATATCAACTTATTTATTAGAATTTTTTCTTTATTATATTCTTCATAATTAAATAACTTATCTTGAAATTTCTTATAATACTCATTATCATTATTTGATCGTGAAATAATTCTCCTTTATTTTGATTCTTTATAATATGAATTTTCAAACTGTTACTATTTTTTGCTATTTTTAATATATAACTCAAAAAATTGGTAAAAAGGTAAAATAACAAGCATCTGATAATCAGTTATAGTATGTATACTAAATTAAGTTTATGTTAACTAAGTCTTAAATATAAATATCACTTAATATAATTTTATCTTTGATGGTAATTGTATCACCTGTATTTCATATATTTCCTATTTTTGTATGGCTATAAGTCAATACTATCAGGCTATTAATCCTAGATTAATAAATGCTTTTAACACTCAAATTTGTATGAGAAAAATTCAGTACTTTTTGACTTCAGAATTTGTTCAAGCAAACTCAAAAATAGACTCAAGACATTTTAGCTTCCATTTTGCATTTGCTAATAATAAATTTAATTCTCAATTACTATATATATTAATTTATTAATGAAAACTAAATAATAATAATCTACAATATAGTAGTATAAGCATTTGGCCGTTTAATCAGCCAAAAAAATTTTTTTATACAATAGCTTACAAATGAAACAGAAATATAATTAGTTAATTGCAAAAAAAATTTAACACCTCTAATGTTCAGAACATTAAAAATTGCAAAAAATTGAACTATTTAAGGCATCAATATTTGCTATTTTGCAAGAAATTTAAACATCCTGAATGTTGTAGATATCAATTTTTTTTTGCAATTTTGCAATAAATTCAATAAATTGCAATTTGCAAATAAACTGCGACCAAAATTAGCAAAATTATGTGACATTTAACCAATTTGATCAATTGGCGATTTGGCTGCTTTGATTTTAGCTAATCAATCAATTAGCTAACAGCCAAAAAATTAGGCTTGTTTGTGGCCAAATGTCAACTATATAATATAGATAATGCGTTATTTTTACGATTTAACTAATATCGCACACTTATTTGATAACTTGACAAACATAAAGTTAAAAGAATTTTGCAAGTTTGCTCATCAATATAAAAAGGATCATCCTGAAATTAATATTGATACTGATATAAATAAAGCATAGTTAGCATTTGGCTACAGCTAAGTCTAATTTTTTGATCATTTATCAATTTAACTTATTAGCTAAAATCAAAGTAGCCAAATCACCAATTAGCCAATCGATCAAATGTCACATAATTTTGCCAATTTTGGCTGTGATTTATTTGCAAATTGCAATTTATTGCAATTTGCAAAAAAATTGATGTTTACAGCGTTCAGAATGTTTAATTTTTTTGTAAAATAGTAAAAATTAACGTCTTTAACAGTTCAATTTTTTGCAAAATTGCAAAAATTAACACCTCTAATGTTCAAGACGTTAAAATTCTTGTAAAATAGAATGTTCTAAATGTTAGAAGTATTAATTTTTCAATTTTTAATGTTTCGAACGTTATAGACTTCAAATTTTTTTGCAATTAACTAATTATATTTTTATTCCATTTGTGAACTATTATATAAAAAAAAATTTTTTTGGCTAGTTCTTGTAAAATATCTATATATAATTTTTTATAAAGTTACTTACTTCTATTTATTATAATATTAAAATTTTAAAATTAATAATTAGGATTAAGTACTATAATTCATATATATAGCAAATCAAATACCTTATCATATATGAAAATGATAATAATGTCATTTGATCATAATGATTCTATAATTCATTAACTGAATTTTTAAAGTTGTATTCAAAGACAAAAAATAAATATTTTTAAATTAAAGATAAGATCATTTTAACATATAACTGAAATAACTATTTAGAAGAAGTAATACATGCTGACTTTTGATACTTTAAACTAATTTGATAGTTAAATTTTTAAATTTACTTTTAGAAGAGTAATATGATTATTCAGATTTTAGTATTATAATAATATATCATAAATATCATATGAATTTTTATATTAAGGAT